CATCACCATCACCATCACCATCACCACCACCACCATTAATATCACCATCACCACCATCACCACCATCACCACCATCACTATCATCATCACCATCATCACCATCACCACCATCTCATCATCACCACCATCACCATCACCATCACCACCATCACCATTACCATCACCATCATCACCACCATCTCATAACCTCCACCATCACCACCATCACCATCTCATCATCACCATCACCATCTCATCATCATCATCACCATGACATGACCATGGCCATCATCACATCTGTCATTACCATCACCATCATCTTCACCACCATCACCATCATCACCATCACCATGACCATCATCACATCTGTCATCACCGTCACCATCACTTCACCACTGTCACCACCATCACCATCACCATCATCACAACCGTCATCATCGTCACCATCATTGCCATTCCCTTCACCACCATCACAGCCTTTCCTTCTTGTTCACCCATCCAAATCTCTTCTACATTATCTTCCTTTTCCTCCCTCCCTCCCTCCCTCCACTTCTCTTTTCACCATCTTCATCTTGAAATTGAATGCCTGATGGCAGTGCTCTCTGGGATTCTGGAAGGTTCTAGTTCTCGCTAAGTAAGAAGTGAAATCAGCCTCCCATTTTCCCAAAGCTTTTTCACTCTCAGTTTCAAACCATCTGTCCCATCGACAGAACACACGTCCTGACTCTTGGCTCAGAGTGAGCTTCCTCTCCTTGCACTAGAAAAGCCGATCCTGTCTTCCTCCCGCTGTCCTGCTGTCACAGTGGGACCCCACGCCTGGACCACAGCTGGCTTCACCAGGAGTGGAGGCCTGGCCCCAGCTGACCCCAGCCGAGCCTCTTCCAGGAGTCAGGAATCAGGCAAGGGACAGTCAGGATGGAGAGAGCACACAGTGGTGGAGCAGAGAGAGCCGGTCCTGGAGGACAGAGACCTAAGGCAGCCTGGCAGAGGAGAGGCTGAGGGGCCAGGAGGGGAGACTTGGTCCTGATGCATCTGCCAGCCAGGAGAAGGGTGCTTACCAGAAACCCAGCCAGCTGGGACGCTGACCTGGACTTCCAGGCCCCAGAACCGTGGGCAGTGAATGTCTGCCGTCTAAACCCTGCTTTGTGGAGTTGCTGCGGCAGCCCTTGCAGACCAGCACACAGGGCTTCCAAATGCTCTCCGAAAAGAGCAAGAGGTAAGTGCGTAAGTGATTGGCCCCACTCAACGGTCACTCTGCTGTCAGAGTGAGACCACAGCCATGAGAAGGCTTAGCCACGCTCCAGCCAAGCTTCACTGGTACAGACAGGCAGGGCCAGATCTGCTGAACAGGCTGCAGTTTGTGATCCCTGGCTTACAGCAACAACAAACATTTATTTTGTTCAGAAACTTCAATTGTGACAGGTGTGGTGGGGGCTGCTTCGTGACTTAGCTGGAGTGCTGGCCGGGGCTGGAGGACTGCCCCAGGCAGTGCCCACACTTGGTGCATCCAGTTGTGGGCTGGAGCTGCCCTCTCTCCCTGTGGGCCTGTCCGTGGCTGCTTGGGCTTCCTTTCACCACGGACTCTTCTAAGTTCAAGTGTCCAGGAGCACGAGATAGAGGCTGTCACTGCTCATGAGTTATCATTTGAAGTCACACTGTGCCACCTCTGCCCTCACAGCCAGCCCAGATTCACCTGGTGGTGGAATGAGGGTCAACACCACACTGCAGGAGGTCCTGCCTGGAGTCCGCTTCCTCGTGGTAGACAGTGCAGACAGGAAGGCCTTGGGTGACTGGAGTTGCGGCCAGAAAGCTGAGGCCAGAGAGGTGCGGTTGGGACCCTGGCAGCTAGCGTCCGTCCGTCCTCTGCATGGCCATCCACTGCTGGAAAGGGGCCCTTTTCCCAGCCAGGTGGGTCCCTCTGGGCCTAGGAAAGGAGACAGTAGTCCCCATCACCTGTGTGAGGTGCTGCTGCCCGGCCGTCACCGGGCCCAGGCTCGGAGCCCGTGGAGCCCTGCGTGGGGCGAGGTTTTTCTTGCTCCTGACTGTTTTCCGGTTGCTGGGTGGTTCTGTGTTTACTGCCCTGAGAGTCTCCTCCAGAATGAGATCAATGCTGCCAGCCCTGTTCTCCAGAGAACGATTTCCTGATTGCACAAGTGCCTCTCAGATCTGCATTCCAGAGAAGGGAGCCCACCACGCTGGGGTTCCTCTGACCAGAGGGGATGAGGGAGGGTCTTTGGAGGTGGAGCGGGATGGGGACTGCAAGCGGGGAGCGTGCACACGGTCCATGGGTGGAAGGCGCTGGCCAGTACTTGCTTGGAACTGGTCGCCACTTCTCACCGGGATCTCAGTTGCAGTCCACGGCTGTGTGAGGAAAGGCTGTCGCATCAGCAAAAAAGGTTGGAGATGAAATGGAAGGAAGGAAATGCAGAGTGAACTGAGAAAGATGGAAGCGTTTATCTCAACGGGGCCTGGGGAGCAGGCTGAGGCTGGGCACCGCTGGAGGAATCCTCCACCTACTAGCAACAACAGCACCCTGCTCCCCAAGGCTTCCTAGGTGCCCATAGCCTGCTCCTTGAATTGTCAGGCAGCCCTGAGGGAATCCGTGTTATCACCATTTTATAGACAAGAAAACTGAGCTCAGAGATGTTAAGTGACTGTCCAAAGCCACACAGCTGGAGGGCCCTGAGATCAGGACTCAAACTTAAATTTTGCTAGGACAAGTATTTAGCCTGTTGCCCACATAGTCACAACATATAATTTTTAATTAGTACCAAACAGCCCTGAAATACTATTCCATACCCATTTAGATAAAGTAAGCTGAAACAAAATAAGAGATCATCTCCAACGTTAGCCAGTTAAAGTGCAGAAATGGACAGTTACACCGTGGGTGAGAGGTAAAAGGTTCTGGGTGGACTGGGGAGCAGTCTGGTCACTTCCAATAAGATCCAAGGGCACAGGACCCAACATGACTGCCTACCAGCACTTAGAGGAACTCCTGAGAACCAGAAGAGCCAGCTAGAAAGTGCATAAATGGCAGAAGAGAGTGCTCCTCACACAGCCCCAGCCAGGGAGGGAGGCCCTGTCCCCGCCTGCCTGGTGGTCTTTAGGGAGGGGCTCTGTGCCAGGACTAGAGGCTGAGGTGGAAGTCTAGGGGCTGGTTTTCTCCAAAGCTTCTTAACCAAAGGTGATGCCCCCCATTGGGAAGCTGGGTGCAGGGTCCCTGGCTAAAGAGGCTTGGAACAGCCTCCTCTCCTGCTCTGGGTCTCAGGGTCCACTGCCTGGTCAGGGAGCCCTGGTTGGCCTGGCTCACCCGAGGCTGCCCAACCTTAGCGCCTCTGCTTCTGCAACCCACTGCACCCACCGCTGCCATTTGCCTTGCCCTTACTAGCAGAGCTGGGGACCTGGGCTGCTGCCTGCGAATTCATGGTCCAGGAAATGCGCGTGAAATCCGCCCCAGGAAGCTCAGATCCAGGAATCAGGCACCATCTCTCGGTGGGGGGAGCCAGTGGAGAGCCAGTGGAGAGAGCCAGAGTGGAGACCCAGGGAGCCTCCCTAAGCGCTCGGCCCTGGGGTGGGGGGTACCTGTGGCAAGGGCGCACGGGATTTGGGTGATTCTGCTCCAAAACTGTGCGTGTGGCCCGACTTTCCCTAACTCGTGGGGGGAAGGAGCCCACCAAGTGCAGTTTTCTGGAGGTCATCGCGCGCCCCTCGCCTACACGGGACCGCAGCGGCTGGAAGGAAAAGGGCAGGATTGTTGGCCACGGGC